ACTCTGATATTCTAATTAATGTATTAATTGTTTTCAATTAATACTTATTGGAAAATATTGCTGCGGGCATAGACGTCATCACCTACACATTTCAACTAGATACATGTTAGCTGTTATCTGTATAAATCTATTTACACTCTCTTTGGATTATAAAAAAACCTTGAAATTGGTGATTTTTCGTTTTATTTGCACTTGACACCGGTCAGAGAGGTAGGTAGGTAGGTAGGTATGTCTTCCACACTTTAAAAAACTTGAAATGGGGCAGTGCTGACGTCATTGGTACCGGTTTGGTGGATGTGTACTAGTCAATTAGGCCTCGTGTGTGCGTCAATGCACCAATGCAAAATCTATTTCTTTTTCTTATTGGAATGCGGTCCACATACGCCGACGATATATAATTTCTCACGTAACATTTGTAATCCAAGTATTATTAAATGTTCCAAGTCGTAATAAACGTAAAACCAGGCGTTGATTCATTATTGTGTCGTAGGTATGGTATCAACAATAATTTTTAACCATAATATTTTATAAATGATAAATGTTCCATTTTGTACCAGTAAAAATCATATTTAAATGTCAAATATTTCGGTTCTCTTCTCAAACTTGTTTTTGGAAAGAATAACGTTTACATCTCAATATTTACCAAATTTTAACAACAACAACCTGAGAGATCGTCCAACGTATGCTATGGAAACCATTGAAGAATGTAAAAAGGATTTGATTCCAAATATTTTTAAAGTTTTAAAAATATTGATGATAGTAAGGGGGCCACAGGAGAACTAGCACAATCCTTATGTAAATTAACATGGGAAATCGCTAAGGTTCATTATGAAAAGATTTGTCCATATCAAGGTCACTCGTTATGACGTCACGTGTCATGACGTCACCAGCCAACTGTTCTAGCATAACCTGACCTAACCTAAGAGGGAAAGCCCACTCATGCGACAGGTAGCGCGCGTTTGATCGCAAAGCATCTCGCGCGGCACTACTTTAGATGTTTTTAAATGACTCGAAAGCCCATTAACGCGGTTCTGTCGCGTGGTCGCACGCGACTGTAAATTAGAAATGACAAGTCCGCGATTTTCCTGCTGCACGCGGCCAGCGTTATCATGAATACATATGAAGCATCACTCATACAAACGTCAAGTCGCGTGCGAAATGTCAGTTGAGAGTTGGAGTTTCTTGTTAACTTTTCGACAGTTCCAGTGAAAACATGTCCGACAGTTGTATTGATATAGATGAATTTATATCCGATATTCAAGACCGACTTCACATATTGGAACAGTTAATTGATATAAAATAGCGACAAAAATATTTGTTCGGGAATCTGCGCTGTTGACGTAAATCCTTATATAATAAATTAAATCCGCCTTTTACATAAGGGTCTATAAATAATGGATGAACCCAGTACCTACGTCGTTTCAATTTTTTCCGCCGACAAACAGAATAAAACAACACCGTTGCTACTTCTTCCACCTCTATTTTGATACTGAACGTCTGTGTCGCTGCTTGTCGTCTGTTAAAAATCGCACCTAAAAAATCGCATGCGGCAGGTCGCGCGCGCGCTCTACAGGTGAGGCTGATCAAGACCTGATTAAAATCTGATTAAAAACTGAAAAAAACCTGATAAAAACCTAATTAAAACTGTTCCATACCTGATTAAAAGCTGACAGGTAATGTTAGGTTAGGCCAGCTGGGGTTAGGGTAGCAACAGTTGGCTGGTGACGTCACGACACGTGACGTCATAACAAGTGACCTTGATATAGACAAAAATTGCCAGAATGAACCTTAGCGATTTCCCATGTTAATTTACATAAAATTCATTTTCAATATTCCACTTCACTTTCAACAAAAATATCCAAATCAACCCAAACAGCTCGTCCTTTTTAGGTTATAAAAATAGAGGAAGGATGTTATAAAACAAGGGTTAAAATTTTAACCGCTTAAATTTGGCCAGTTAACAAATGTCATATATTAAACTTTAGTAAGCATTAACTAATCCTAGTACAACAAGAGCAAAAATGAAGACGAGGTTTAATTTTAATCGCGAATTGTACAACCCGCCGTTATTTTTTTCTGAAAACATTGTTATATATATTTTTTCAAATTACGGCCCTGTTTGGCACCTACTACGCAAAATCAAACAAACTCTAATTTTATTCCCCTTGTAGGAACGTTTTAGTAAACTGTCAAATCCATTCTCCTAATTTCAGTTCTGTGCGTACGACGCTTTACCTGTCACACTTCAAAATTAATTGCTTATTTTCCTGGAAAACACATTCAATTATGATAGTTGTAACAAGAAAAATAGATTGGACTGATAATAACTGGCATGAAGAATGCAAATATGCTTCCCTGATGTAGGTAATATCAGAGATAAGGGACATAAAGATTGGAAACGCAACGACCGCAGCAACGATGGCGTCATCTAGCGTCTCAGATGTTAACTACAGGTCTACGTCGTTTGTAGAGAGACCAGTGTTGCCAAATATTTTTTTTGAGAGATCGTATAAGTAGAGTAGAAAAATGGTATTTCGACAAGAAAATTGCATACATAGCAGAATATAACTTAAATGGAATGACATGATAATTTCTTTATCTATTTATAAAAACGTTAAAAACGAAAAAAAAAAACTAAAGAAAATACATGAAACTTTAAATTAACACATTTAAAGTAATCTATCACTGTCACTTGAAAGTGATTGAAATTTTGTATGCCAGCTTTTCTTATGCCGGATAGTCGGTGTACAAAATCACCGAGGTCAAAATCACGATAAGTCAGAACGAAAATGACTGCTTTCAGAAATTACGAACGGCCTATGAATCTTTGCAAGTAGTTTTTGATTTTCATTGTTTTATATTCTAAAGTTGTTGCAGATATTTAAATAAACTTACTAAAAAAAGTGAAGATCATATTTTTACGTACGATCTCACTGATGCAATCGTACATCGTACAGAGAGTTAAAAAATCGTATTAATACGATTTAAATCGTACGGTTGGCAACACTGAGACAGATAGTAGATGTGGACAGCAGTGGACAGTTTGTAAATATAAATGTCAGTTTTATGTATATCGAAGAATCCTGAATTTAAATTTTAAATTTTGAGTTCATGATTGTGTTATCCTCTAGATGAACTAAGCGAAATAGTTGTGGCTGTTTTTGTGTGAAATTTAAGGACAATAATTATATTTTGTATTATTACAATAAGTCGGAGAACGTATTTCATTAGTAACACATGCCACATGAACAAATCTAACAACCCCAATGTGGCGTTCTTTAATTAACCAAAATAGGTAAGATCTATTCATGTAAGTAACACAAATAGTAATTAACTTTTGTCACAAAGTAGGTGTTTATGTATTATTTATTGTTTTAGAACAAGAAAATGGGTTCAAAACGTTAGAAAGAAGATTTGATATAGGAAGAAAAATATCTGAATTCACATTATTGAATTTGCACTCAACATTTTTAAATAAGATACCAAAATAAAAACAAAAATGCAGTGTTACAAATAACAATCAAAAATTAAAAAATATTTGTCATGAATATAGATTTACAATAATTAATCGATAATAGACTGTAAGTGTAGTATTCTTTTTAATAAATAATTTAGCGTAATTACATTGTTTAAGTTTATTTACAAGAACATGAGAGTGCAGTCGATATTTATGCAATCTTTATTATCAGGTTTTTAAATTTCCCGCTGCCTTGTTTGATATCGATGAAAGCGCCACATAGTGGGTCAGATGTTAATTGCGATAAAGCCGGTCGTTGTTAAGCATTGGCTTCTTATGGGCGTTTCCTATCTTTATCTCCCTTATCTCTGGGTAATATGAAAAGTCTTTTTCCTACGACCACTTAGGAAAGTGACACATATCACACTATATAGTCCTATGGAAAGTGTCCTATCACACGCGTATGACTAAGAATTTACTTTCCACCCAAGTGAGAATATGTTACTTTCCGCAGTAGTTGTCAAAAAATGTCAAACGCCTAATTTCTATTTTGATCTATGTAATGTCCATATTAATACTAAAATCGATATGATTGTTAAATTATTGAAATTGTTTTAAATTAGATCCTAGATATTTATCTTTAACAATTATTATTAAAATAATTTTAAAATAACTAAGATTATGTTTGCTCTTTAATTTGGGTAAATACATAACCGATTAGATCATTCAATTGACGTAAGGCCCATTAGCTCAGTTGGTTTAGACGTCGAACTTATCAACTTTGCCATTTTTTGACCGCGTTCAATCTATGGTTCAAATCCTGGCGGAGCCGAATTTTTTTTTTGTTTTTTTTTATTTTTTTTTATTTTTTTTTATTTTTTTTAGTTTTTTTTGTTTAGAAAATATGAAAATTGAATAAATACGATTATTGTTGATTATTTTTTTAAATACATTTTAATTATTATAGTAATAATAACCTTGGTTTTACATTTTTTTGATGACATTATTTTGTGGTCGTAGGAAAAATATTGTACATCACTTGTGTGAAAATTGATTTTCCACACTCGTGTGATAGTCGCCCTCGGCTTGCGCCTCGTGCGACTATATTTCCCACTCGTGTGAAAAATGTCACTTTCCACACTCGTAATGTAATATACTATTGTGCGTTTTATAGCCTTATGTTAAGTCAATACCACATTAACCATACTTTCTCATAATAATTTGACAACTATGTGGATAACACCGTGAATGTTTACAATTCAATTTTTGTAAACAAAATAAGTCTAGTAGTTGTTTGTCGTTGGGTACACCAGTCAAACAAGAAAACACTATTTTCTTTAATTTATTGATAATATATTTGATAGTTTTTAATTCTCCCGAATTTCAAAAGTCTGCAGGATATATAAATTTAAACCACGGCTGAATTATTATTGTATAGTTAATAAAAATTATAGATGATCCATACTTAATAAAAATTATTAGATAATAATCCATTTTTAAGATTATTTTATGTTACATTTTTCTTAAAAACCAATTTACTCACTTTTTTTTTGGTTTACTCTTAGAAGGCGTAATCTCAGCCACACTTTGAGATTTGGTCAAGCAACAATGGCTTTTAGGTTTGCTTTCTTTCGACTGCATCTCCATCAGCGTTTTTTCCAATTTGATTCGCATTTTCTCGTCACAAGGTGTCCGCGCATTGAATTTTTTACTAGAAGGAACCGGAGTCCTCTTTCTGGCCGTCACATTTTTAATACCGTCACCATCCCCATCCATATTCAATTTAGGCGTCGAAAAAAATTCGACGCTGCTATCGTCGGTCATTGGCCGTCAATTTTGGGAGAGCGCTGCTTTTATTCTTTGTCTTTTTTATCGTTTTTATTAATGAATTATGTTTTGACAGAAGCCGATGATGTAAAAGTGACATGTGGATTATAACATACTAGATTTTTCATCATGTTAGGAAACATGTAACACTCTCATGAATGAATTGTGGTATTCGCTCCGTGCGAAGTAATGGAAAGGGAAGCAAAAGCGATACTAGCGCTAGCTGCGGATAATTCGTGCATTTTAGGGGGATATTTTGTAATTTTGGCATATCAAATACACGTATACATTTTACTTTTTTTCAAAAAAGTAGGTAAAAACAACATAATAAGCAACCGGAGTTGCTGTGTTGAAAATTGTACAAATACTAGCAAAAAAAAACAGTGAAACTTATGTAACAAATTTCACTAACAAAGTGGAAATTAAATCAAAGAAATAAATGGATAGGTGTACAATAAGAAGAAAAATTACCTTTATTTTTGTGATAATAACAGTAATGCTGGAAATAGTAGACACCAGAAACTAGAAAGTTTTTAAATAAACAATAAATTATCATTTTACGATGTTCTTTAATATCCCTTTATTCTTAAATGCTCATTCAGCAAGGACTAGATTTCAAGATTTCTGCCGTTGATTATAATATTTGGCTGGTATGCAATTTTGTGACTTACTGATCGGAAACCAGTTTTAATCATTCATTCTATGTTTTCTTTAGAACAAAAATGAAAATATAAGTAGCGATCCTTTTTATACATTTTAACTTCACGCTATTATAAATGGTTTCTTCAATGACAACTTGACTTAGGCAACTTCTCATACATTTTCCAGTAAATACTGTTGCCTGCCTATATTTTATTATTGATTTTTAATGATTATACATAATTTTCTTCAATTTAAGCGTGAAAAATATATAATAATAATAAATTAATGTTTTAATTGTTTTATAAATCCATATACTTTTATTAAAACTAACATATATACTTTTTATTTACGAATTCTATTAAAAATTGTATTTGTCAGTATAGGCAGAAATACTCCTTTAATACCAAAACAAATTGGCGCTGCTGTCGCGCACGGATCGAATAGCTAATCAAAATAATATTCCCACAATCCTAATTAACATGATGTATTTTGAACGACCAATGATTTTATTTTTTAGTTCTATGGCTTTGGTAGTAGCTACGCAGGGCTGGATACCAGCCCTGGTAGCTACGTAGTACTTAATTAGCTAGTCTCAGTTTGTTATTTGCTCAGATAAACAAATGAAATATAGATAAGTAACGGGCATGTAACGGGCGCCGCTTAACATAGGCTTTGTTTGAAGAACAGGATAAAGAACGATACAGAAAAGAAACATAGGGCTAAAACAGGATCCTAGCAACTGAAGCCACACCTTCTTTATGGTGGAGCCATATACTTTGATTAATATACGGGGCAAGAGAGAGGTCCGTCACGCCCAACATAGGGCGCGGCCATTTTGAACCCTATGACACAGTTTATAGCTAAAGAATCAGATCGCTCACTCTGCGTCGGCACTTTTGATCTCAATGTTCCAGTTTATACACTGCGCAACTCGGATAATACAATATATGACAACCGCCTATAATAAAACAGCAGTCTTCTACGTATCCTGAATTTGTATCCCTGGAGTGGATGTTATTTTGGAATTTTCAACTGGTTCGAGTGAGCTAACTGATTCTTTAGCAATAAACTGTGACTAAAAAAATAATATTCACTGACACTGACAGCCTCCGAGCAATTACTAATATAGGGAGCGTGAAAACGAGTTTGTAGGCGATTGTTGTGTTAGCAACATCTGTAGAGGAAGTGAGGAAGCGGGAACAAGGGGGAAGGTAAACATCCTTCTTGTTCAGTGGCGTATCATTTATCTATAAAAACACACATTGTCCAAACGTTTTGTGAAAAAAAAAAAACTAAAAAATTTGCTAATTTTACTATTTTTAAAATGAATACCGTCTTATATGTGTCTAATGCAGGAAAAGAAACAAAATCACTGTTAAAAGGTCTAATTTTTTCAATTGAAGAATAAAACCTTAAAATCAATTTTATTATAAATACAGGAGCGACTAGTTTCGGCCTGACAGGAACATCTTCAGGCCTGTAATACAATAATCTTTAATTATTATAATAGGCTGGTCACTTACGAATAACATTAAATAGTATAAACCACAAAAATGGATCCATATTGTAGCGTTATAGAATTAAAGCTGTGAAAATAAAAGAGCAGTGCAAATGTAACTAAAAATAAGGAAACTGAGTACAGAATCTACAAGAGAAGAGGTGAGAATGAGCAATTACGAATGCATTTAAATTGCTCGGGAGAACAAATAAAGCTGATAATGTAGTGGTATAGTCCCCGTCAAAGAAGGTCTGGATATGTTAAAGAGAACGGCGTTTTCTTTGTAAATTTGGAGAATGTAAGGATGGAGGGAATCTTGCTGGCTCAGGTGTAGATGGCTAGAAAAAGGAGCGTGTAGATGAAAGCTCCAGTATCGTCACTTTCGTCTAATTTTTTATTCTCACTCACCGTTTCGGCTTTATCTTCGAAATTCATTTTTAAAAGGAAACAAAAGTAATCATTCATACAAGCATATAATAAAACAACATGAATTCATTATATTTAATAAGCTAATAAACGTTTTTTTCAATGAAAAAAACATATGTGAGTATAAAAAATATATAAATAGATAAGATTAATATCAAAATCAATTTGAAAATACAACAAATAATAAAATGAAATAAATTAATACAAGTACAAATAGAAAGTTAATAACATACCTTCTAAAAGTAATACATTTTAGGTAGATAAATGTTTAAAGAGTTTATTCCTGAACATAACTAATCTAACGTTTTTCCCCTTTTTAATATTATGAGGGTTTTTGTAGTTGAAATGAAAATTATAATTTATTTTGGTCCTAATAAAAATTTAAACATAGGTTATCAAAGAGTAAAATTCATAATAGAACTTCATAATCTTAAATCGTTATCAAAAATTATTAATGGTAAAACTTCAAATAATAATTAGATTCTTAAACAAATTTCTAGTTTTTGTTTTGCAAAAGACTTTTTTGCCTTCTTCGGTTGCCTCTGCCACTTTTCTTTTAGTAGTTTCGAGGAGAATTTTCCTATGGAAACTAGTAGAACCATCAATTGGTTGGTAAAATTTTGATATTTTGAGTCTGGTAAGTCTTGTTAAACTTTCTTCATAGGAAGCTATAACCTTATGGAGAATAAAAATTTAATAATGTTAGATCAAAAGCTCTTAATTGAGAATTATATTTGCAAAGGCCGTTTTAATAATATTTTCAAAAGTTCTTGGAATCGTTGTTAACAGAAACCTGCAAAAAATATATAATTTTATTCCTAAAATATAAGATATCACACAATGCACATTCATATAATATCATTGTGCTAGAAAATACTAGGTAGTTACTGAGACAATTTAAAAAAAGTATTTCGAGAAACTCAACTTTAATGTACTTAACTTTTTGATTGCTAAATTATAAATAATGTCATTTTGTGTAGTTCGTTGTGATTTGTATAATATATATTATAAAAAACTATCGCCAATGTTAATGTGCCAAGTTTTTTTAATAATTATGTCCTTGTTATAGTAAAAACACATTTTTAAAGTTTTCTGGATTTCTTCTTTAAATTATTGTACAATTGAGAACTGACTAATTGTGTGTTTAAGTAAAGGTATATCTCTTTTTTGTTATAACAGTCTCTGTATATTGTTCTAACTTTTTAGATAATCAGAGAAAACAGTAAGACATCTTAATATATCCTATTTCACCAACAAAAATGTAGAATAATTAATCTCACATCAAACGAAAAAAGTAATTTTAGGATGTCCTAATAGATTTTAACTTAAAAACTAAATAAAATGTATATTGCAACTGTGTTTAAATAAATTAATGTTTTTATACCTGACTATAGCGCCAGACAAACATTTTTTTAGGTCATAATGATCTGCATAACTCAAAATAGTCAAAATCCACATTATTTAAGTTGTTCTAGTATTGTTTTAGCATAACGATATTAACTCCAATAATAAATATTCACATTTTTTTTTAGACGTTTTTTAAGGAAATTAAAAAAAAACATGAATAATGTGATATTGTTGTTTAGTTTTGTACTATATAATATAGTTCATTAGGTAGTGAATTAGAAGCAAATTATGTTCTATTTATAGAATAAAAAATCACTCATAATATCTAAATATTTATACCTATTTATATTTTGGACAGGAAGACTATTTTATGTTTTTGGTTCTGAATAGTTTTCTTAAGAATTTTAAAACCTTCCTTAGCTGTTTTGGGATATTTCATGCATATCTCAGAAGTTCATTTTGTTTAAACCTAAAACAAATTAAGTACAAAAAATGAACATTTAAACAATACACAAAATTAGTCTTTTAGATTAGTTAAAAAAAGTGTCAACAAAAAAATGGCTATGCCTTTTTCCTTAAACATTCTTTTTGAAAGGAACTTAAGTTTCTCTACTTACTTGCTGTTTTAATATTTTAGTAGCAGATGAATATAGTGTAGAAGTAGTGACAGGATTGATTATTATACTTCTTTCTTCGAAATTGCATTTTTCTTTAATATTTTCCTCCCCTGATGTCTGTAATAAAAATGTTTATTAGCATAAAAAGTTATTCAGGTGGTCACTTGTTGAATTCCTATATTTTGGAATCATGTATGTCTTTCTCATATCAAGAAAAGTAAACCTAAAAAAAATAACAATAAACTTTACAAAGATTTGATATTAAAATAATAATAAGTAATTAACCTTTACTATAATCATTATGAGACGGATCAAGACGAACTTAGCTGGAGTTTACTTGCTCTTAATTTTAATTTTTCGATAAAAAAATAAGAAAGTTTAATTGCAAATTAAAGGTGATTGCCTAATGCACCGCCTCTGATAATTAGGTTGTTTCTGTACTTACTTATGATATTATCTTGAAGAAGCATTTTCAACAGGCCTGTTACACATAAAGCATGTTTTCACCATATTATTAGAGATAATAAATCTTAAATATACATTTACAACCCTTACAACGTTATAAATAATAATATTTTCCGTAAAATACAAATAAGAAATTGACAAGTGTCAGAAAATCAAAGTATGTGGTCAGAACACTCAGAACTGGCGCTGTCAAACTTGGCAACGCTGA